GGGAAAAAAAAAGGAAAAAAAAAACAATGCCAACAGCCCAGCGTCCGTGAGCAACCCAACAGTAACAAAGCAGGTGTTCGGGATGGAGGAAGGTAAGGCCACACATTTCCATTTGCCGCTTGCTCCTAGGGCTGGGCGGCCGGGGTGACTCAAAGGGGGGGGGACCTGTGTGCACCCCTCCTCCACTTCCTCTTCTGCACACACTCATTGTTCTGTCTCAGGGAGAAGAGAGAAGGGGGTTGACAGAAGGCATGTAGAAAAGTGCCCGGGTCCAGCCAGGCCCCTAGTTCTCTTACTAATAGACTCACATGCTGAAGAGAAGCTCCCCGCCTCTCCTCACCACACCATTCAGTCAGGAAATGTTTTTTGAGCACCAGCTATTTTCTAGGCCCTGTGGTTGGCACAAGGGATACAGAGCTAAGGCCCAGAAGTAGTCCCCGAAGGGCTCTGCACCCGGGTGGGGACACAGACGTGAACAGGCCTGGGGCAGGAATAAGGATAGAGCCCGGCGGGGCCTGGCCGGCTACCAGGGCTGCAGGACAGGCTCACCTTTGGGGCGTGGATACCTATGCTCACCTTTGAAAGATGAGTAGGGGTTCTGAGGGCCACGGGAGCCTGAGAAGGGCTTTTCAGTCAAAGGGAATGGCATAAGCACAGGCCCGGGGGCCTGAGGCAGCCTGGAGAGATCCCAGAACTGCACACGTACATTACTTTGGTTCCTCAGATCCAATAACAGGTGCCATCAATGGGTGAGGTCTCAGGGGCAGGTCATGAAAGGCCATTTAGGAGGGCTGATTTTAGACCTGATGCTGAGGACTCAAGGAACGATGAAGGTTTTGAAGCAGAGGAAAAGCAAGATGAGGTTTGTGCCAGAGACAAGCCACTCTGGTATGATGGGTTGAAGAGGGGGTTGCTGGAAATGGGGAGACAGGGAGGGAGTTCTTGAAATCATCTAGATGGGAAGTGCAGTCCTACGCAGGCAGTGGTAGTGGAGAGGAGGGGAATGAGAGAGAGGAAGCTGGGGGATGTCAAGTCTGCACTGTGTGGCCACCTGGGTTCTGGGGGGCTGGTGGGCAAGAGAGAAGCCTGCCCACTCCTGTCTAATCCCAGGCCTGATTGGTGAAAAGAAAATAGCCAGGCCGGTCAGGACATACCTGGCCCCCAAGAGCAGCAAACTCCTAAGTTCTTTTGGCAAATGTCCCTGTGCTGTCACATGATGGGATGAGGGCATCCACTCAGACTCACAGAGTGGAGCCCATTAGGCTGCTGAGGGTGTTGCCTGGGCCTGTGCCAAGAGGCAGCGGGACTGCTGTGCTTGGTCCTGGGCTCCAGTGTCCTCCACTTCCTTGGCAGCGTGGATGTGTCAGCCCTTTGCATCAAGAACTCTGGGCCTATCCCCCAGCTCTGGAAAGGGGCCAGCCTTCCCCATTCTAGTGGCCTTTCCTGCTCCTTCATCTGGGGCTTTCTTGCTTGGGCATGGTGTCCAGATCCTGAGGAAGCCCCTGCTTTCCTTGCTCCTGCCAATGCTCTGCTCTTCTGCCCTTTCTGGCCCTGCTGTCAGCGCCCCCTAGTGCCAGAATGGCTGTGCATGAGGGCAAGGGTCTTGGAAATCCAGCGGGCCTCAGTGATCCCCCACACACTCCTTGGCTTGCTTGTGGGCAAAGAAGGGAACAAAGGATGTTTTCTTGGAGTCTGACACTTCCATGTAGAAATCCCAGGGTCTCTTCTTTGCTTTTCCATCTTCTCCCTCTGTTGGCACACAGTCTGTACTCCCAAATTAGGGTGAGACCAGAGAACAAGCAGGGAAGACAGAGCTCATGTGGTAGCCACCTGTCTTGTTTTCTGTCTGTATCTAGATAACTCTTGATGTATCCCAGGGTCTCTGGCCCAACAGGGAAGCCAGTGCCTCTTGGAGACTGGGACCATCCTCAGGCCCACAGCCTGTGTCCACAGCCGCCCCCCCCCCGCCCCCGCCGCTTCCACTACCCCCTATCTGCTGAGATGTTCCAGTTTCAAGGTTCCAGACATGGCCAGTGCAGCCTGAGGGCCCCTCACCCCTGGGTCATGCCTGCTCTGAAGGAGGGCAGCACAGACTCTCCCACCCCATTCTGTGGCTGCTACAGCTGGGCGACTTCTGTGCTTTGGGGGAGGCCTGTAGGGAGTGGGAGTCAGTGGTTAGTTCCTGGCTGGCTGCCAATGGCCAGACCAAGAGTGAAGGTCATGACTGTTACCCTAATCCAAGCTAGCTGTGCTGCATGTGTGTGGTGGCAGGGGGCCTGGGAGTGGGTGCAGGCTGTAGATGAAGGTCTCAAGCCAGACCAGACAAGTATAACATTCAAGTACACTTGGCTGCTTCAAGTTTGCTTTGAGGTCCTGAGCTCCTGAGGGGGACAAGCAAGACCCCCTTAGTTCTAGGCAGGCATACCTTGCAGGAGAAGAAATTGCAGATCACCACATCTTGGCTTGGGGTAGGCTCCCAGAGTCTTCCCAGGGATGTGTGCCCACGTCTCAGAGCCCACTCTGAGGGACTGAAAGGGGATAGGAACTAGCAATTGCAAAAAGCCAAGAATAATTCCTTCTTCCTTGTATTCTACATGCAGGGAAGTCTGTTCCCAAACCACCTGGCCCAAAACCTATCTTAGGTCAAGAGATTGGTGATTGGGGGTGGGAGGCAGTAAGCTGCCCACAGCTGAATGAGATAGGGCCAGTTGCTCTATCCAAGATGGCAGCTCAGCTGTGGGAGGGCCAGGGAAGGGGCAGTAGATGGGGTGGGAGCCTCCCCGCCTGCTTCCCAGGGCAGCTCTGCATTCTGAGGGGCCCCCAGGACACTGCGGGGGCTAAGAGAAAGGGAGAAAGGAGGCACTGCAAGCAAGCAGGGACCTTCTCTCCATTGGAATAGGCCCCTCTCCAACCAGGCATTCCCTCCTGCAGGGAAACTGGACACTTGCCAGGAGGTGCCAAAGATGAGCGGCGGCCTGGCCAGCAGGCAGACTGTATGGGTCCGAATGAGTGAGCAAGTGAGTTGTTAAGCCAGGGCGGAAGCTCCAGGGAGCAGGCAGGGCCAGGGAGGAGAGGGAGGGACAGATCAGGCAGGGAGGCTGCGGTCCTTGCCATGTTCTGGCTTTTCTCCTGCCTGCCTGACCTGTAGATCCAGGCCTGGAGCCGCTTCTGGAATCGGGGAGCATGCTGGCTGAGCATGAGTGTATGTGCAGGTGTGGGCACGTGTCCCGTGTATGGCAGTGTGGTCCAGACAAATCAGCAGGGTGGCCGGACTTATGTAAAGGGGTTCCCACACTGAGGGACAGACTGTGGCCTAAAACTGGCCTCTGCCAGCCAAGGGAGCTTCTCCCTCCTTTGGCTGTGAACTCCCTGTGACCGGAGCTGCTGCCTGGCCCATCTGGGGAGCAGGTGGGGATCCCCCCTGTGGAAGGTGCCTCCAGGCAGACAGCGCGGCCCAGGGTGTGCCCCAGCCCCTCAGACTCCATTCTGACCAGGCCTGGTCCTCTCCTCTGTCTTGCAGAACTACAGCGAGAGGGAAGCATCGAGACACTGAGTAACAGCTCAGGCTCCACCAGCGGCAGCATCCCACGAAACTTCGATGGCTACCGGTCTCCACTGCCCACCAATGAGAGTCAGCCCCTCAGCCTCTTCCCCACCGGCTTCCCGTAGTACCAGCAACCTGCTTCTGACTGGCCGGCCCACTCACCTGCTGGAGGGAGGGGCAGAAGCCCCCCTCTTGGTCCTGCCCTCCAGTCTCTGCTCCTCTTTCACCAACCACCTTCCCCAAGCTTAGTGGCAGCAGCCACCCACCCTCCCCGGATGGAGAAGAGCCCCTTCTCCCAAGCACCTTGGCGCTCTCTGACCTCTGCCCCCCACCAGCGGGGCTGTGGCTGAAGGAGACTCTGCGAAAGTTCTTTCCCCTCCTCCGTTTGCACATGGTGTCCTGTACTGGATCCGCTTTTGTATCTTCTAACCATACCCACGGGGTGCGGGGAAGGGGAGAAAGAGTGGATGGCCCGGCTGGGCATTTTGACCCTGAACGGACAGCCCCAGCCCACTCCTGGCTACAAGATGCACTGCCCAGTTTCCCTTGGCCAACCTCCCTCTGGCGTGAGGTAAACTGAGGCCCAGAGTATTAGGGAAGGAGGAAGGAAGGAGAAGCCTCCCCCTGCCTCTTTTCTTTCCCCTTTGGCTCATGGGAAGGATTTGTCGTTCTTGTCTGTAAGCCCTCTTACCCTGGTCCTGTGCTGTCCAGTGAAGGAAATCGTGGTTAATAAGGCCCTGTCAAAAAGTGCACGTCTTGTCCAATAAATCACGCTACAGTTGGTGTCCGTCCCTGCGTCGCTGGGGTCACAGTCCTCTCCAAGCCCTGAGCAGAGTCCTGTGGATCTGACCATGTGTCCCGCTACCAGCACCCCCTGCCTCAACATGAGTGACTGATTGGAGGGTCAGTGAGTGGGTAGGAAGGAGAAGGAGAATGTTTGCTGTGCAAGTTGTGTAGGGCCGGATTTAAGTTCATTCTCCAAACTTCTTGCTGGTTCCAGAGCCAGTGAGTTCTGGAGGCACCACACAGGCCAGGAGCCCCCCGCGCCCCGGCTGTGGCAGTCAGGGCCAGTAAGGTCCTTGACATGTGCTAGGCTGGGGGCAGGGGTGGTGCTGCTGGGGGACAGAAAGCCTGAAGATGCTAGCCTTCTCGTTGGGGCAGGCACCTTGTAATTGCTTCTCTTTTCAAACTCAGAGGGTGGAAGGGTGGTCAGGTATAGGCAGGTCTCATGAATCCTGGCTGGAACCTTGGATGATAGGTTCCTGATTCCCACCCCTTCCCAATTCTGGACCTGAAGTGAAAGGCAGGAAGGAGACCAGAATAGGAGGAGCAAAAAGGGGTGTTGAGCAGGAAGGAGACTAATGCCATCCCCAGTTCCCCCTCTTCCCTGAGAAGCCGGCGAGGCCTGGGAGGATTGAAGGAAACCCACTGAGTCAGGTGTGGTTTGGGGTAAAGTTTAATGTAACAGCCTTGGAAGAGTTGAATTCACAAGCAGGGGTTCCCGTGTGACCGTCCAGCTGGAGCCGGCGTAGCTCCAGAGGCCTCTGCCCCCTTCGCGTGCACCCCATGACATCTGAGAAGAGATTTCATCCTCAGTTCCCGCCACCTGGTCAGTTGGGCCTATTGGGAGAAGCCGGACCTGAATCACGGTGGGCTCTGCAGGCTGAGTAGATGGCCTTCTGGAGCTGGGGTGGCTCAAGCCAGTCCCTCCTGTCTGGGGCCGGCAGTTGCGGTAAGGAATCACAGGCCGTGCTGGGAAAGGCATGTTGGGGCCATAAGGAGGTCTGGGCACGGCCAGTGGGGGCTGCCAGACTGCAGCAGCTTTCCCCCCATTTCAGCTGAAGCCGAGATCTTGACGTGGCTGGCACAGCCCCAACCCCCCACCAGAGCAGGGTTTCAGTCCCAAAGAGGCAGCGACAGGGCTGCAACCAGGCTTCCTGTGCATCCTACCCATGGCCTGGCTCCCTGGTGATGGGTCCCAAACTCTAGGAAAGGTGAGCTCCTCTGAATCCACGTGGGTTCGTGGGTGGGGCAAAGACGGAGAGCGGGCAGCTCGCTCCAACCATGCGGGGAACTGGCGGGCAGCTTAGAGTCAGGAGTCCTCCCTGGCTCAGCCCTTTCCCTCCAGGGGGGTGCAAAACATCTGTGGCCTCCTCCAGTCAGGGAAAGTTGTGGGTGTAGGGCTGGACTTGCCGGCTGAGCTTGCAGGACAATCTGGTTATTCATCTGCTCACAGCCAGGGCAAGTCTTTGAATATGTGGGGGAAGGGGGAGGATAAGAAAGGCCAGATAAGCTGGCCCCATGGCGGCTGCCACAGAACTCGGGTTATCAGAGAGGCCTTGGGCCTGGCCCCTGGCTAATTGGGGAGGTTATGGACCCTGCCACAGCCTGTAATCAGCTGGAAGTGAGATCTGGGCCCCTAGGTGGGGGACTGTACTGCCTACTGGCCCCCAAGCAGCCAGCCTCCTATCCTCTAGTGATAACACCAAGGGCAATCTTCACCTCACCCTCCCCAGCAGCCCAGCAGACCTCCATGATGCCATCACCTAGGAGTCCATCAGAACATGCATCTAATTGTGGCCTGACCGAGTGACCTTGAGGGAGCCATGTGACCTCCCTGATTCTCACAGTGCTACCTGCTCCAAGGGCAAATTACCGTGGACTTTCTCTCAGTCTGATGGAGGAAAAAATATCTTCATGGTCTGAGGAGGCTGATGGGAGCTGGGGTGGTAGCTCAAAGAGGGAGGGCACTGGCTGGGATTGATTTGAGAAAAGGCCCAGTGGTCCCAAGGCAAATCCAGGAGCGCAAGTACTCCGTCAAACAGCAGCATCAGCTGTGGAAGCAAGCAGAGGCCAGAGTAGGCAGATGCCAGTTTGGGGTTGGAAAGGGTTCTCAGGGGCTGATTTTTCTGATTTGCACAGACCAGAGAATTTCTAAACTAGAAGGTACTTAAAAGAGTACTGCTCAGTCCTGATTTTGTAGATGAGAAGCCAGAGCCCCAGAGAAGGCTCGGGCCTTCCACAGGGTTGCAAAGTCGCACAGCAGATCTGACCTCTTGTCTGCTCCTTGCTGCCTCCTGTGCTCTTAAGAGGGCTGGATTCTGTTCTGTGCTGACCTCCCTGTCCTGCGCCCCCACACACAATCCAAGACTCTGATCCCACTCATCTCCATCCCCTACCCCTAAGAGCTTCCAGACCCTGGCTTTTGAAGCTACTCCCCGTCCCTGTGTAACTTGGAAATGCAGCCTCCTCCTGCACACCTAGAGTCAGAAACTCTAGGGACAAAGGGAGAGAGCCTCTCCTCTGTCCTGTAGTTAAAACAAGAGCTCAGCCTGAAAGTGGGGCTGAAGTCTCAGTGTTGCCTTGCTGTGTAAGTGGGGGAAGCTCTCAGGACAGCAGTGACAGCACCAGCTTCTAAGGAGTGGATGTGCCCTTGCTCTCTTCTAAGGTCCCAAGGTCCCATCCCAGCTCTGCCACTGGTAGCTGCGTGACCTTGGGTAAATTACTGCCCTCTGGGCTTCAGGGTCCTCATCTGTAATATAGGGGGAGAGGTGCGCGTCCTACCAAGAAGAGCAACCAGGCTGAATCAAGCAAAGAGGAAGTTATCGGTTAAAAAGGCAAAAGTTTGGTTGGAGGCCCGGAGGCTGACCGGACAGCGAAATAGCTCTACCTCGGGAAAGAGAGGGCGCGTACGACCCAGCTGGAACCCTGATTGTGGGGCGCTGTCCCCCACGACGCTGCGCCAGGAAATCCCGGGCCGCTCCCTGCGAAAGCGTTTGAGAAAGCGAATCCCGACCCTGGCGAGCGCGCGCAGGCCAGCCCCGCCCCTCTCTCGCAGGTGGGCTGGTCTTAGGGGTCCTTTAAGCGATTTGCCCCCTCTCTCAAGCCCCGAGGCAGCATGGCCCGCTCGCGCCGCCGTAATCCCAAGCAACCGCACCCACCATTTCACAAGTGCGCGTCCACGCACTCGCAGTTTCACAGACGTACACCTCACTTTGGCCCATCCCTGCTCCCAAGCGGACCGCGGCCACCAGTGGACTAAGACCCCAGAGCCGCTAATAGTCTGGAGTTCCCAGCGTTATAGGGTCCCCAAAACTCCAGGGGACGTCGTCCAAAGGCCGGAGGGGACGCACCCTCGGTTGCGGGCTGGCGCACCTCGCCCTAGGGTGTAAAGCGACCCCCTTCAAAGGCCGGGTAAGTCCGGAACCTGAGCGGCCAGGAGGGGCCTCGTCTTCGCGTTCGCCTGTAAGACTGGGGACTGGGCCACACAGGCAGTCTGCCCAGGCACTTCCCGGGACCTAACCGGAAAAAGTGGCCCCGCTGCCTTTCCTGGAGCAAGGCGGGGGCCACCGGGCGGGCCGGGAACAGGTCGGGCCTCCCGCTCTCCCCACGCCCCCCACCCCATCCCAGCCACTTGGCCCGACCCTGCGCGGGGTAATTGGGTCGGGAGGGAGGCGTCGGGCGGGCGGCGACTCCAGAGAGACTGCGCGCCTGTCAGCCGCAATTTGTCTAAGTGGACGGGACAGGCCGGGCCGCTGCGGGCCGGGGTCATCGAGGCCGCGGCCCCCACCCCAGCCAGACCCGGGACCGCGGGGGAGCCGGGTCCGGCCGCTAAACGGGGCTGGCTGGCGCCAAGACTCCGGGAGGCGCGGGTCCGGCCGGGAAGCGGGGATGGGAAGCAACTCCGTGTCTACCCCCGCCCCACCACACACACGCGCGCGCACACACACACGCACGCACGCCGCGCCAAGATAGGGACAGACGTCCAGTGGCACCTCCGCTGCTGGTTACACGGATAGGCCACACACGTCACCTGAGCTCAGCCCGGGCACAATCATCTCTTTAGTTCTCCTCTCAGGACAGGGCCCCGTTACCCGACGCTCGTCGCCTGCGCCACCCGACCATATACCCCTAAGCCATGCACGCGGGCGCACGCAGATCCACATCCAGTCACACAGAGAGCAAAGACACCGGCGAGGCCCAACCCGGGGAAGGTCCCAATAGTGGCCCCTGACGCCGCGAAATGTTAGGGGGCCAAGGACAGACGGGCGGTCCAACATGGCTTGGGACCAAGGCACCACCCGGCCGAGGCCGCCCCCCTCCTGATTTTCTAGTTGTGGGAAGCGCGGAGCGTACTGAGGGCGCGCAACTACCCGCGGGAGGCCGGGAGGCCCGCGCCCTCCCGACGCCCGGGCCCGGGACTGCCTGGGAGAGGGAGGGGCGGCTGAGCGCGCGTCCCCCGCCCGTCTGCGGGGCCCGACCGATGCGAAGTGACAGGGGCCGGAGCTTTGTTGTGGAACCTCGGCCGCCTGGCGCCAGCCGCCCCCGCCCGTGCCCTCCCCCTCCAGCCCCGGGCGGCTTGCGAGGCGCCCCCCAGGGCCTCTTAAAGAGACACGAACTCTCAGCCCCGGGACCCCCCCCCCCCCCAGGCGCCTGTTCCTGTCTACGTGGGGTAGACCCAGGTGGGGGAGGGGCCGAGCTGGAGCTTGGGAGACTCGAGGCGCCGCTCGGAGGCCTCATGGGCCTCCCCTGCGTGGGTTTCCGAGGAGCCAAGAATATTTCTCGGTGGAGAGTTTGGTTGACGGGCGGGGAGGGGGTAAATTCCGAATCTTGAGAGTGCCTATAGCAGGACCTCGGGTTGGCTGTGGGATGGAAAGGCAGGACAGAGGACGGGGGGCCTGGCCGGAAACAGCCTGTGGCGGCGGGAGGGCAAGATGTTGACCCAGTGGCTGTGGCCAGGTGGGATAGTGGTTCCCCAATGCAGCCATGCATGCACTGTCTCCAGGGTTCTTCAGCAAACAACCCAGGTCCGCGTGTTTCGAACTCTCCGGGCCTTGGACCCCTGGACCAGATGCGGACCTTTCCCAGGAAAATGTCCAAATTGCACAGTTAGATGCACACACATTCTTACAAGTACGAAAGTAATGTACACCCATGACTTTGTAAATATATTCACGGATTCCCGGCCCGTCCCCGGATTCCTGACTATGGAACGCTGTCCTATTATCTGGTCACCTCACCGACGACGCAAACATGCCCACACACGTCCCTCCCCGAGGGGCCATATCCCGCCTAAATGGAGCCGTCACGACTTTCCCTGTGCAAAGCTGCAACGGATTCTGCCCCATCTGCGTAGACTGCGCAGCACAGAGTGGAAGATTCGTTCTGGACAGAGAGGAGGCACTCAGAGAGTAGCGACCCAGCCAGGAACAGGGTAGTGAAGAGAAACCCTGTGGGGGCGGCGCTCGTTTGCAAGCCAGGTAAGGGAGCTGTGAAAGGACTGGCTTGGAAAAGTAGAAAAAAGGTCGGGAGGCCAAACCCCTCTGGCCGGTCCCTAATCTGCATTGCTCCAAGCCATCAGGCTTTCCATGCCAGGTCCAAGTGTGCAGCGACAAGGTGCCCTCTGACTGGGTGTGTGCAGTGGCTGGGCAGTGTTGCCTGGGTCACTGTGGGATGTGGGCTGCACGCGCCTACCACGCGGGCACAGCGCCCGCGCCGGCCGAACTCACCCACACTTATATAGGATGTGCGGGCAAGAGTGCCATCCATGTGTAGTCTGTGGTCCTTCTTGTCCTTTAGAACGTGACCACCAGGAAGAAGTCTGAGTATCAGCTCCCGAGCCCGATTCAAGGCAGGTGTGTGGCCGCTTCACTCACTGGGCGCACTCCTGAAGTTGCGGCTCGCGCCCTGCACAGTGTGCACCACCGTACTGGGCGCAACACGCGCGCGCGCGCACACACACACACACACACACACACACCACGGGGCGGGGGAAATAGTGGGGCTGCCGAAGAACGAAGACTGGGGTGGGGTGGTGGATTCAACCATAGGTGCGCCCAGACACTCCGACCCCCCACACTCGTTGCTCGGAACTACTGAACTTGAGAGACGTACCCTCGAGAGAAACGGAAACAAACTCTTAAGAACGCGGCATAGAGCGGAGAGAAGATGCCGCTGTTTAGGATGAGGGAGACTTGGGTCTCCGGTACCGGATGCGGCGAAAATTCGTTGGGTCGCGGGTCACGGATTTGGGAACCGGGATTGGCCCAGGCCGTGCCGCCCGGTGCTCGGCGGAAGATGCGCACACCTTCCTAGCCCCGAGCTTCTCACGGCTGTCGGGGGGCTCGAGGCTGGATCCGGGACGCAGACAGATACTGGGCTTAATTCAGGGCTTGCCGGGAACTCCACGTTCCTCCTGAGTCTTCCTGAGGGGTGGGGGGCGCGGGCTACGGGGTCCGCGCGTTTCCCGAGCGCCAGGCCGCGTCCCACTCCCGCCCACGCCGGCCCCACCGGGGTTACACCACCGCTCCACTCACCGGCTCCCGCCACCTGGGTTCGGCTCCAGGACCTCGGCCGCCCGCGCCTCCCGACTCGCCCGCCCACCGGCCTCTTTCCAGTCCCAGCAGGAGTGCAGGGGCCCCGGGCTGCGCTGCGGCCGAGAGCGGGGTCGTAGGCCAAGCTGGGGCGCGGGCCAGAGCGGCTGGGCCGCCAGGCGAGGGAGAAGGAGGGCGCCCCCTCTCCTCTCGGGGCCGTGTCAATGCTTTGCACTTGGAGCCTGCGTGCGGCTGGGGGTCCTTCCCCAGGGCTCTGGGACCCGGGCGCCCCCCGCCTCAGGCCCTTTCGGCGGGTCGGGTCGGCCCGCCGCGCTTTTCCGTCCCCGCGCAAGCAGCCGCGGGCGCGGGCGTCCGGGTGGGGGCCGGGGCAGGGGGAGGGGTCTCGGGGCCCGCTGGCCCGTCATTGGTTAATATTTTATTCTGTTGACATGTTTTCTTACTGCTGAGGCTTCCGACACCTTCTCCCCGGCCCCCCCTCCCGGCCGGAGCTTGGCTTGAGCTGTCAAAACCCCGCCCCCGGAGACCCACAATTGGTCCAAAAAGCGTAAAATCAGCAATCAAGGGGGGCCTGGCTCGTTAGCGCAGGGGATCCGAGCAGGGCAGGACATGTGAGATAGTCACAGTTTTCCAGAGATCACGACAAGATCTAACCAGTCGCGCGTGGTCCCCGGCGCCGGAGCGGGCCAGCCCAGCCCAGCCCCGCGCAGAACCCCCGCCACCCCCGCGCCTAGAGCCCCGCGCCCCTCGCCGTGCGCCGGACGGGGAGCCGGGAAGAGCCGCCGCCGCGCCTGCCACCGGGGTCGCCCTTCCTCCGCGCGCGCCGCCGCCCGGGCCGGGGGTCCGAGCCGCGCGCCCCCGGCCCCGGCCCCTGGGCGCCTGGGCCGGATGTCCCGATGAGAGAGCCGGCGCTGGCGGCCAGCGCCATGGCTTACCACCCGTTCCACGCGCCACGGCCGGCCGACTTCCCCATGTCCGCCTTCCTGGCGGCGGCGCAGCCCTCCTTCTTCCCGGCGCTCGCACTGCCGCCCGGCGCGCTGGCCAAGCCGCTGCCCGACCCGGGCCTGGCGGGGGCGGCGGCGGCGGCGGCCGCGGCTGCGGCGGCGGCCGAGGCGGGGCTGCACGTCTCGGCGCTCGGCCCGCACCCGCCCGCTGCGCATCTGCGCTCGCTTAAGAGCCTGGAGCCCGAGGACGAGGTGGAGGACGACCCCAAGGTGACGCTGGAGGCCAAGGAGCTGTGGGACCAGTTCCACAAGCTGGGCACCGAGATGGTCATCACCAAGTCCGGGAGGTAGGGCGGCTGGCTGGCCGGCGGGCATGCAAGCGGGAGGGCAGGCTGGGGACCCGACAGCACCCACCGGCGCCGACCCGGCCGCTCGCAGCTCCCGGCTCCGGCCGGGCGCCACGCTTAGCTCCCACAGACAACCAAGTTGACTTTTCTCATTTAGCACTGAGCGAATTTTTTTAAAACTAAAACACCAAAGTTACCCGAATGAAACAAAACGAAAACACGCTCCTAAATAATAGTCCCAACCTTTCTGAGTCTCAAAGCCGAGGAGGCCCCGCGGCTCGGCCGGGCGGGTCTCCGAGATCTCGGTTGTGGCTCCTCAGCCCTGCCGCTTGGCTCTCCTGCCTCCGGGTCTGGTTCTCGGAACTCTGAGGAGATGCAGCATCTCCCCGACCGTCCTCTGACCCGGGAACCCAGAATGAAACTCACACCATGCTAGGCTCAGGCTGGCCAGCGGATTCCAGCCCGCCATTCCGTTCTGGCAGTAAGCCCCAAGCGGGCCCAGCTGCAGCCTGACCTGGGCTGGGAGCCTTGTCCAGGCCCGAGGAGTGAGAAGCCCCCTACTCACACACTGCTCCAGCCTTAAACACTGAAGAAAATCACAGTCCCCAGCCCCTCCACCGTTCAACTCAGCCATCAAGAATCCAGGCCTCAGGTTCACCCTCTTCCCCCGAAACGCAAGGTTCTTGTTGGGCTGTAACCCAGTTCCCAAGCAAATATCTTCTGGTTTTATTTTTGGGAGTTTCAGTCCCAGTGGGCATATCCCCCAAGTGAATTTGGGGGAGATTCAAAAGAAGCAGGTGTATTTCCAGGGGGCCTGGGTTTTCTGGACATTGACTTTCATCTCAGATGAGGGAGAAAGACAGTCACCAAACCTGAGGATGTGAGGATAGGGCCCATGGGAAACCATATAATAAGAAAGGGTTTGACCAGCGGAAATGGGCTCCCCCAGGCATAACAACCACAGGTGGGGTCTCCCAGGCAGTCGTATGAGGGCAGAGCAGCGACAACAGGGAAACCCAGATGGGGAAGCTCCTGGCAGTAGTGTATGCCTGGAGAGTGGGGTCCTCAGAAATAAAACCGGGTTCCACGGAGTCTTCCCCTTTCCCTTTCTCGCAGGCGGATGTTTCCTCCCTTCAAGGTGCGAGTCAGCGGCCTGGACAAGAAGGCCAAGTACATCCTGCTGATGGACATTGTGGCCGCTGATGATTGCCGGTATAAGTTCCATAACTCACGCTGGATGGTGGCGGGCAAGGCCGACCCAGAGATGCCCAAACGCATGTACATCCACCCGGACAGCCCGGCCACGGGAGAGCAGTGGATGGCCAAGCCTGTGGCCTTTCACAAGCTGAAACTGACCAACAACATCTCCGACAAGCATGGCTTCGTGAGTGCTGGGCAGGCGCAGGGAAGGGGGTCGGACACTGCATCCGGCTCCGCAGGGGGTGGGGGCAAGAGAGCAGGCAGCGGGGATTCCCCAGAGGGGAGCGCTGGCCGAACCCTCAGAGTGCCCCTGCTCGGGTCACTGCCCTGTGGCCCATGCTGGCTGAGCCTGGGCCCAGAGGGCTTCGCTCTGAAGGCCTGGGGAATGAAGGGGTTGTGGGGCGGCAAGCTTCAGGCTGCTCACAATCTCGGCTGGGGTCAGGCCTTCCAAAGCTCTTCCTAGAGCCCAGCGGGAGGGAGGTGTGACCGGGACTCATTTGTGCAGCCTCTGGTCTTTAACTGCTGAGTTTGGAAGTCCTGTCCCCGACCTCAGCTTTTCTTCACCCTTCCCCTTGACCCATGTCCCCATTTCCCCCCCAAACTAGGAGATTCAAAAGTTAAACCAGCCCCCTTCACATCCTAAGACTCCTTTCCCTCCTCCTACAGGCAGATGCCCCACCAGGAGGAGGGAGTTTGGGGGTTCTCCGTTTCTTCCTGAGCCAGGCCCCGCAGTGAATGGGAGGGGGGAGTTGGGGCAAAAGGGACTGCCCATTGTTGAGCCCCTGGAAGGTCCAAATCTTCTGTCCGTGGAGTTACTAGGGGCTTAACAATGAGCCCAGGAAGAGAGGTTAAGAGTGGAGTTTTATTGGGTTTTTATTTTGTTTTATTTGTTTTCAACTGGGATAAATTTTTTAAGTGGAGAGAGAAAGAAACTGCAATAAAGAAAACTGAGGGGAAAAAATAGAAGAAAAAGAAATATAGGCAAGAAAAAGAGCAGAGAACACAGGAGAAAATCGCCAAGGAGTGGGTGGAGGAGGCAGACGAAGAAAGAGACAGAAAGACTTGGAAAGAGGTGGGGTTTCCAGGGAGTAGAAATGCTGGGGCCAAAGGCTGGGGGCTGCCGACTGACCCGCATCCTCCCCACAGACGATCCTGAACTCCATGCACAAGTACCAACCGCGCTTCCACATCGTGAGAGCGAACGACATCCTGAAGCTGCCCTACAGCACCTTCCGCACCTACGTGTTCCCCGAGACCGACTTCATCGCGGTCACTGCCTACCAGAACGACAAGGTGCGCTGCGTGGGCAGCGGGCCCAGTTCCTGCACCAACACTCCCTTACACCTGCAGGCTACAAATCTTCACTCATTACCCCGCTGAGCCCCCAGGACCCACCCTGCACCCTCACAGCTCCCTCCCCCGCACCGAGACTTACACTGTAAGCGCAGCACCCACTGAAATCCCCCAGGCTCCCTCCCAATTCCGCGACAGGTACACACAGGCTCCCCCAGCGCGGGAACAGCTGGGCTCTTGTTTGGGTGGGGATGTTTACTTAGCAATTAGCAAAGACCCTGGACTGCGCTGACATTTTTACATTTTATTCGTTTATTTCTTGGCTCGGAGATGGGGATTTAAATGAAGAGAGGAAGCCAGAGGCAATCTGCCCTGGCTTTTTGGAGGCTGGGAAACCAGCAATAGGAACCTAGGGCCCAGAGGGCGGGACAGGTGACACAGGTTCCTAAAGTCCCCCTCCCCCATCCGTCCAGGCCCTGAACCCCTTGAGAAGTGTTTAGAGACTTTTCTTTTAAGTTAAAGGGGTTTTTCTTCTTGCTGCCTTTCTACACTCTCTCTCTAGAGGGGCAGAGAAGCACTCCCTCTGGGCCTGTGCCCATGTGTACCCCTCTCCGGAGAGTGTCCAAGTGCTCAACCGGTCATTCTTTTTGTCTTTGTGAAACGATGTGTACGCGGGTAGGCGGGCAACCTTTTGGGCGCCTTGGGTAGGTGTGGAGGTGTGTGGATTCCTTTGGTTCCGTGGCACGTGTTTGTTTTGTCTGTGTGTACTTGCGTGTGCGCGGGCCCGTGAGTGTGATTTGCGCCTGTGGCGTGGACCAGCATGTGCTCTGCTGTCCCTGTCCGCGCCTGCTCCTACTCCGGGTTTGTTTAACCTGAGTGACCGAGCGGGCCCGGGTGCATGCTTAGGCAGATCCCGACTCTGCGCACAGCTTTGGGCTTGTGTGTGCAAGATAAGAGAATATGCCTCGAATGAAGTTTTTGGAGGAGGAAAGACCCTGTGGCTTCCCGCGAGGCCCGCCAGCCGGCCTCACCTCGCATTCCGTCTGGAAGCATCCTGTCCCAGGCGGGCGGGGACCAGGTGGACCTTCGCCGGGCTCTCCTCCGCGCCGGCAGCCTCTGACCTGGGGGTGCCCCAGGCCAGGCTGGAGGAGCCGCTTCCTGACCTGACGCCGCCTCCTCGGTCCCCCGCAGATCACGCAGCTGAAGATCGACAACAACCCGTTCGCCAAGGGCTTCCGCGACACCGGGAATGGGCGGCGGGAGAAAAGGTGAGGGGCGAGCCGGGCGGCTCTGGGGAGGGTGCCGGAGCGAGCAGGCCGCGGGGTGGTGCGCGCGCCTCTGACCCGCTCCCTCCGCTCATCCCCAGGAAGCAGCTGACGCTGCCGTCCCTGCGCCTGTACGAGGAACACTGCAAGCCCGAGCGCGACGGCGCGGAATCGGACGCCTCGTCTTGCGACCCCGCCCCCGCGCGGGAACAGCCACCCTCCCCGGGGTCAGCGCCTAGCCCCCTGCGCCTGCATCGGACCCGAGGTGAGGGTCGAGTGGTCGGACCGGGGGTGGAGGAAGGGCGGAGGGGAGGGCTTCCTCCGGGGGCCCGGCTGGCCCTTTGCTGAGCCTCGGGTAACCGGGTAACCGTACGGCCTGGGGGAAGCGTCAGCACCGTGTCTGGGTTGGGGCACCCGATCCAGGCCTTCCCTGGGAGGGTGGTCCCCGATAGCTAGAAGATCTGGCTGGACTCCGAGCCAGGCCCCGGGCGCTGTGTGACTCTGGGAGTGAGTTTCCTTTACATGGCTCAGTTTCTCCAGCAGTAAATACGGGGCCTTAAAT